AGATGTTTTATATATATTATATAATATATATGTGCATATATAATATATATGGCATTTTATGTTTTTGGTCTATTATACATAATATCTAATTACACATTTTAAAATATATCCATTTACTTACATATTTTATTATGTGTACTGGATTAGAAATATATTACACATATAATTATCCATATATTGTATGTTTTAACATTATACATATTTTGTGATCATATATGTATAATGTATAATTATACACACACACATACAAACAAATGCCATAATTCCTGCCTTTGGGAAAACCCCCTTCCCACATCCCCTCGTGCTTCAGGGGAAATCCCCACCCCTGGCACCTTCTCCCCCGTAAAACCAGCCCATAAATCCCCACATCCACATCACCCTTCCCATCAGAACTCCACACAGAGCACACTCCAGCTCCGTTTAAATTCCTTTATTCCAGGCAGGTCCGAGTGTTACACACCGAGTGTCGCGGTCGGTGACTCTACTGAGAAGGTTAAAAAGAGTCAGAGCGCGTGGTGGGGGCCCGGGGGGAGTCTCTGGGTGTTCCTGGGGGTGCCCGGGGGGGTCTCTGGGTGTTCCTGGGTGTTCCCAGGGGTGCCCGGGGGGGCCCAGGCCCTCGGGGGGCTGTGGAGGGACCGCTGGAAGACGTGCCGGTGCCGGCAGGTGACCCCTCTCCACATCCCGAGGGATTTGCTGTTATAAGGTGCATTCAGATCAGGGGGAGGGGATGAGATGCCAGGTGCAAAACAAGCCGTAAAAAAGGGGAGAAAAGCCAAGAGGGGATGTTTCCTAAAGCAACCCAGGGAGATACCCGGAGCTGGGGCATCTCCCACCACCAGGACCACTCCAAGCCTCCACATCCAGCACTGGGAATGCTCTCAGAGCCAGGCCGGCTTCCCAGGTGAGCTTCTGTACCCCAAAAACCTTGGCCCAAAGGTTCATCACAGCACTCGGGGAGCCTCTGCGCTCCTCCAAAGGGTATCCCAGGCTCTGGATCTCCATCATAGCCCTCCAAGAGGAGCCAACCAAAGAGGAGGGGACACCAACATCCCTCGGCTACGTGGCATTGGCAGAGATTTACCAGCATGGCTTTTCCCAGGGTGGCAGGATCCAGCATTTGCCAGGTTATCCCACATCCCCGTGATGCCCAGCGCTGGCACGGGCAGCCCACGGGGGTGCCCTGCTGCCCATCCTGCCAGGAGCTGGGCACACACCGGGATGCAGAGCAGGAAAATGAGCAACGAGCACAAACGGGAGCTGAGCTGTGCCCGAGCTTTGGGACACGGGTGACACAACCCCGGGGCTGTCCCCTGGTTGTCCCCCCGCCGGCTCAGGGAGCAGCCAACAGACACATCTTCCAGGAGAGGCTCCAAACTTCTCGCTGGCACCTTTCGCTGCAACCTGGTCCTCATTATTTCTTAATTAACATATCCAAGAAATCAATTCAGTGCGACATTTCTAATTAAGTACTACAGGAGATGATCGCCTCATTATTATTATCTGCCGAGGTGAACAACTTGATGTGTGCGGCGGGTTCTGCTCTCCCTGTTCCTTCCACTCCCCCAATTACAGGAAATCAGGGATGCAAACGGTTGGGGTTGTTCTCGCAAACCGAAGGCTCCGTTTTGTACATTAGGAAAAGTCGAAGAGATTAATTAGCTACTAAGTGAATGTGCATAATGTTATCATTAGCTGTTGTGTGTAGTCTTTCCTGGCACAATTTGCTGTCCTAATAAACAGTACTAATGTGCTACTGCTTTCCCAGCTCCGTAGTTTTCATCCCTAGTGCCGTTGGAAGAGTCGAGCGTGGTATTTTGGACCAGCAGTCCCACCGTGACGGCAGGAACCAGGATGATCCAGTGCTGGGGTTTCTGCATGAGGGAGCCCAAACTTGAGCTGCCTGTGAGCGAAATGGTCTTTCAAGATCCACAGGGGCCAGATTTGGGTCTGCTGAGCCTTTCTGCTGCTTTTGAATAAAATTACATCTCGACACGTCCTGGATATCTAAACCACGTCAGTTCAGTGTCCCAGCTGGGGACAACATAGCCTTGGTGTCCCCGTGCTGGGATGACAAAGGACTCTTGGTTGCCCAAGAGTTTGGGACCACAGGGCCACCAAGCATGCTCCTCATACAAGCACCTCGTCCTGCTTGTCACCAAGCTGGGGACAGCGAGGGCAAGGGCAGCACAGAGGGGTCTGAACCATCCCGATTGTCCAGAGGAAGGGGATGCACATGGAACACGAGGACAAGGCCTGGGGTCTCCAACCTCATCAGTACTGTTGATTAAAGTGCTACCACGCCACACAAGACGTGCAGATGGGGCTCGGAGCAACCCGGTCTAGGGGAAGGTGTTTCTGCCCTGAATGAGTTTTAAGGTCCCTTCCAACTCAAACCATTCCATGATTCCACAATTCTGTGCTTTCAGAGATTAGAAAAGCGAGCTGAGCCCCAGGACGTGGTGGTTCTCCGACCTCCCAGCAGGAGCATCTCCCCAGTGCTCGGGGGGCTGGGGGTGGGCTACAACATTTCGAGTGTCATTTGAACAAAATTTGGGAGCAAACGCCGTCACCAACCCGCCAGAGGCTCTCGGAGGTAACCCCTGGGGAATGTCTGAGTCAGGCCCTGGGATGTGATGATTTCTCAGCACAAACTCTGCCGAGTTGACTGAGACCCATCTCCCTGACACATGAAGCGAAACAAGTTTGACGGGGTTTGCACGGGCAGACGATCGATCCAGACTCATTTAGACCGTTTGATTGGCACTTGTTTGACGGTGCAGCTGCCTTTGAGCCGAGCCACAATCTCACAGCACAGCTCCTCTGACATCCCTCAAGCTGGTCCTCACCCCCTCCGGCAGGATCAGGCCCTCCTGATTCACTGGAGCTGCCTGGCTTAATAAATCCTGAGTCTCTCCTCCAAACTGATTCAGCCCTTATTGGTAATCGCTGGATTAACATGATGAGCATCCCCTGCTAATTAACGACCCACAGGTGATGCACGTGCAGGGAAAACATCCATACTCGCTTCCCACCATGGGGAAAATTGGGACCTGGCTCTTTCCTGAGGCAGAACTTGCTCGGTCCATGCTTTTCCTTGAGTGTCTCCTAAAGAAATACACACAGCAAAGCCCTGATTCCTTTCCCCCACTGGAAATTCCTCGCTCCAGCTGCAGACCCAGCAGGTGGCTGGAGCTCACAGCCACCGAAACCTTTGATTGTTGATCACGATGCAAAACCAAATCAGCACCTCCCTCCTTGCTCCAACTCTCTGAAACCTCATGGTAATGCACAGTCTCCACGTCTCCTTCCTTCCCCCCCTCCTCAAAACAAAAGCCTGGGATGAACAAGCAGCAGAATGGTTCAGGCAGCGACAAAACCCCACCGGGAAAGGGGAAACGATCCACCCAGACAGACTCGGGAGCCAGGAGGCTTCTCCCTGTCAACACAAGAGGCTGTTTCTTTCTCAGCCTTGCATTTCCATTCAGGAGGAGGAAGGCAGCAAGTTGTGCCTCTGTGCAGCATGATGAGGTTTGGCTTCCCATTTCCCAGGGCTCCACAGAGCCGTAAACTGGAGTTTTGGGCTCGGAGTAGCTTTTTCCCGCACACATGGATGTGTGTGCAAGGGGGTACCTGCACCCCCAGCATCCCACACTGGTCCTCACCCCCTCCCACCCTCTGCAGCAATGGAAGGGACCCATTTCAGGTGCACAGCTCACCAAAGCCTTGCCACTGCCATTCCCATCAGCAGGCTGCTCTTTGGGAATTGCCAGCATCCCTGCTCCCCTTCCCAGGGCTCCCTCTTTCAGTGCTGCAGGGAGTTATCCAGTCCCAGGCCAAAATCCAGGCCCTGATCCTGCACGGTGCTGCCCATAGGACAGCTGCTCATGAAAATGTCCATGGGAGAGCTGCCACCTCCCTGCAGCCCCTCAATCCCACCCGGAGGAGATGGAGCAG